CCAGTTTTCGTAAATCGTCGATGGGCAGGAAAAGGCCACTTTTCAAGAAGCATGTGAGGCGATGAAGCTGCTTGAAGACGACGGCCACTGGGACGCAACGATGGAGTGCGCAATGTTGTGCCGGTCAGCGACTACGCTGAGAGAGCTCTTTGCGATTATGATAAGCACCTGCGGACTCTCCTACCCCCGGCAATTGTGGTACAAGTATAAAAAGCGCTTTGTCAGAAGACATTGCTCGCCGATACCAAGGGATCATCATCATCATCAGTCTATTAATGTCCCCACTGCTGGGGCACAGGCCTTCCCTATGGATGGAATAGAGAGATAGGGGCCATTGAGGCCATGAGCCACCGCGCGAGCCCAGTGCGGATTGGTGGGTGCTAACGACTGCAGATGCAGCCGGGACCAACGGCTTAACGTGCCTTCCGAAGCGCGGAGGAGCTCGAGATAGTAAATTTTTGGTCACCCATCCAATGACCGACCACTGCGAAAGTTGCTTAACTTCAACGATCGCAGCTGAACGAGCTAACCACTTGCGCCATCGAGCTCCTCGACAAGGGATAACACTAGACATAATTTTTAAAGAAGCGCTTAAAGTCTTTTTTCTTGGACGCACCAGGGGGCACCGGCAAGACTTTTTTAATGAACTTGCTGCTGGCACAGTTGTGCAAAGACAAAGTGGTTGCGCTGGCTGTTGCATCCTCCAGAATAGCCGCAACCTGGCTAAGTGGTGGCAGAACCGGACACTCAGTATTCAAGCTCCCGCTGAAACTTGCAAGTGAAGAAACGCCCATTTGCAACATCAGTAAAAGTAGTAGTCGTGGTGCTCTATTGCAATGGTGCAAATTGATCGTATGGGACCGAATCGAATCTTTATTGGTGGAGTGGTCGTCTTGCTGGCAGGTGATTTTTGGCAGACGTTACTGGTTATCGAGCGAGGTACCTCGGCAGATGAGATAAACGCATGCCTCAAGGCTTCGCCGTTGTGGGATAATACATATACCATGTAGAATTCTTAAATTCCCTCGACCTGTCAGGGCTGTCTGTCTGCCTGACATACTGATGCGTAACCTTGACGCGCCCAGACTGTGTAACGGCACTAGGTTAAGCATCACGGAGCTGAGACGGCACATCGTCTAGGCCACCATTCTTACTGGAGGGGCCAAAGGAGAGACGGTATTGATACCTAGAATCTCTATAATACCCACAAACTTATCCTTCCAGTTCAAACGCCTACAATTTCCTATAAACGTGGCTTTCTCTATTACAATAAATAAAAGTCAAGGACAAACTCTAAAAGTAGCCGGCATTCACCTGGGCACCCCCTACTTCTCCCACGGACAACTGAACGTGGGTTGATCGCGTGTGTCGAGAGCAAGAAATCTTTTTATTTACACAGAAAACAATTAGTCCCGCAATGTTGTTTACCGGGATGTGCTGCAGTAAAATGATTTCTAGGTCTCGCTCCACGACCCGAGACAAAAAACAATTACATAAGACAGCATAATCAAATCTCCCGTTCTGTCAGTCATCAAATATTGTAAATTGATCTTTCCGATGTTTAAGTTTAAATTAATTTGCTTCTAAAAATGTGAACAGTCATTGTTTTTACTGTTAATACACAATTTATTTTCCCTAATAAGCCGCGGGTAACACCGCGGGGCACAGCTAGTAATTAATAACTGGGATAGTTAAAATTAATAAGGCAAACAATATTACAACAAAAATTATTTCATCATCATTATTTTCAGGGTTACCAATAACTTAATACTTAAATAATTTTTTGGTCGTTTAATTATTCGTACCATTTAAATCGCACTGTATTAAAATAAATCTTCTTTCTTTCACTATTTGAAGTTAACAGCTTGTATATGTACTTACAGTAATACGTGTCCGCTTCCCGCAGCGCTTCTCGCTCTGCTTGTCGCCTTTTCAAAATAAAACTAACCTTTATTTTGCGTTCAGTAAACGTTGAACAAGCAAACGACATTTATAAAAAGCATTTCCATCACGTGCTCAATAGCCTGATCGCCCAATTTCAAAGTCAAGGGCGTATCGGCAACACCGCAAATAACTTTTTGCTCATGATTTCAGATAATATTTTTTCGATGCCACGTGTGACTGAATCAAAAACTTGTGGACGAAAAAGTTTTAGTAATACTTTTTACATTGCCACTTACCTAATCTAAGTAGGTATAGAAAAAAAAAATATGGTGCCAAAACATAAGTACCTACCTTGTCTATTTAATGCATGTCAGACCCCGTTGAACTGAACCGTGCGGTCCTGCGTGGAATATTGCTCGCACCTCTGGGATGGCTCTTCAATTACTCCGTGACGTGGCGTCACTAAGCGCGTTCTAGCGTCTGTACCACGGCGAGTGTTCTGAGGAGTTATTCTCTCTTATCCCGCCTTCTCCTTTCCTTCAGAGGACCACGCGCGCTGGCCTACGTTGTCACCGTCTAACTGTGGCCACAATTCCAACGCGTACAAAGAAATTTGGTGACTCATATCTTTGTCGCACTATCCGTAAATGGAATACTTTGCCCGCTCACGTGTTCCCTCCCTCTTACAACCTGGGATCCTTTAAAAGAGGCGTGAAGAAGCAACATGCAGGCCGGCAGGGTGAGAATGGCTGGTGTGGCAGGTAAAACTGCTGTATCAGCTATCTTCACGTCTGGACTTCACCTTCACTTGACATCAGGTGGGGTGGAGTCAACAGTCGGACCTATCTATAAAAAAAATTTCGGAACGTGGTTAGTGGGTATCTTACAAACTATTTTACCACCTAAGGCCGTATACAGAAAGAAAGCTGGAAGCTGACCAGCGCTTGTCCTTAGTGTCGCCGCACACGGGCCACACGCCACAGCCACAAACGCCGCCACGAGAAGCGAGATGCGGCTACTAAAGTGACTGAAGCGCGCGACAGCGGCCGACTAAGGTAAGGGAGAGAGGGGTGGGGAATCGCGCGAGTGACGTGATAATCGGCGCATTAAGTGGCCGGTGCGGGCCACAAGAGGCGAGCAACGACGATTTGTAGCGTGTGGCGGCCACCGGCGTACCGTGTGTGGCGAGTCCATATAAAATGTATGAAAACTACAAGAAATATGCCGGTGGCGGCGTTTTGTGGTTGTGGTCGGTGGCCCGTGTGTGTGACACTTACTTTTTACAGTTACATAAAGGAAGCAGATTGAAGCGTAGTTGTTTATTAATTTCAAAGGGTGTTGCCAGCGCTGACCAGCGTGTGTCGAAGATTGTCGACGACGTTCAGCGCTTATCGGCGGTAGTCCATAGAAATGCCTGCGCCGGTTACCTGCGCGAACCGGATCCTATAAGCGCTGGTCGGCTACCAGCTTTCTTTCTGTATACGGTCTAAGGCATCCTGGTCAGACCCGTCTTTCCCAGTGGGCACTTTGGGCAAGTGCCCAGGGCCCCTCAGATCAAATACAAAGTAGGGACTCTTTTTAATGGAGGAACTAGGGAGTTCCTGTTAAATCACCAAACGGAAGTCATAGGGGCCCCATTATCCTAATATGCCCAAGGCCTCCAATAGGTCAAAGTCGGATCCTGGCTCAGATTTGACCTCGGATCCAACTTTTTACACCACTTCCCAAAAATTAGTGTAATGTTTTTGTCTGTCTGTTTACTTAAAGTGAAAACGGCTACCGAGAAGTTGAGTTGTCTTTCCTTCCAATGATACGGTCGGACATGCATGGGTACTTTACCACACAGGATATAGCTTAGTTCATAACCTTTAATTTATCAAGCTCACGTCAGTATAGTACTGGGGGCCATTCGCCTAACGGAAATGCTTTGGAAAACGTTAACGATTTCGATTTTATTTTATTATTTCTGACCGCCGAAGGTTTTCAAATACCTCACGCTCATTTTTTCTAATAATGTTAATTACCAATGCAAAAGAAAAAAAAGAGCGCGAGGCATTTGAAAACCTCAGGCGGCTAGAAATAACAAAATAAAATCGTAAGCGTTAGCGTTTTCCAAAGCATTTCCGATAGGCGAATGGCCCCCTGGTCTTACCTTTGAGATGGATCTGCCGAATATATACCTAGTAGTAGAGGACTCTAAGAGGGGCTTTTGGGATTTACCCGGACGCGGCGGAAAAACATAATGGGGACTTACACCTTGTGAAGTTCTCGGTACTCGTACTAAGACAGCAAAAATATTTTCAACAAACCGCTATAACTTTTTTTTAACCCCAATTCATCAATCTTTTGAATAGGAGCTACTGGAGGGTTCACGTAACATCCCTTTTTAATATCTGACGCGTTTGAATTTTTTTCCATATATTCAACGTACTTTACATGTAAATGCTACTTGTAGACTTGGGGAGTAAGCTAGCGAATGCGTTACGAAAAGTGTGTTCGGACGAGACGAGCAGGAGTTGAGTGGGGGATATAAGCAAGAGAAAGCAGTACTCGCGAACATTTTCTTTCTCTCTTTCTCTTATAGCTAGTAAATGAAATATGTATATATACGTACATATATATATATATACATAGAGATGGAGCTAAAGAAGTTTCACTTCAGTTATAATTTTTATTTTAAAGCATGTAACTGCTTGATGTTTAAACCTAAAGAAAATATAACTAGAAATAATACCACGCGGACCAGGCAGCAGACGGGACTCGAACCCACACCCTTCGCAATCCGGGCGAATGCACTGACCAATTATGCTACCGCGGCCCTCACGGACCGCGTCGAAATTCCTCTAGCCATTCTTAAGCTGCAAGGCAGCGCCATTTCTTCGCATTATAGGTAGGCACAATGTCAAATGAATACTTTTACAAGTATTAAACATTTGAATGAAGAAATAGCAATTATAGTTATAATTTTTATTTTTATTTTAAAGCATGTAACTGCTTTGTGCTTCATGTTTAAATCTAAAGAAAATATAACTAGAAAAAATTAGAAGTTTCACTTCAGTCGTGTGGTCATAAGCACACTCTTTTTTTTTACTTAAAGTGGTTTTCCGGTGTTCCAGGCTTTCGTGGTGAGCGGGGCTGCCCTGAACATAGCCGGGCATGGGTGCGCGCACGGCTACCCGGCTGTGCTGTTCGCTCAGCTGAAGGTTACTGGGGAGGTGGTGCTCACAGACCATGACACCTCGTGGATAGGTCAGTTGTACTTACTTTTTAATATAAGGCAAGGAATTGGCCACGATCGTACGATAACACGACATGATGCCGTCGTACGATGATTTTCGAACTTGCAGATTTCTAAATCTAAAGAAAAGTTTACTAGAAAACAAAAACTACGCGGACCAGGCAGCGGACGGGACTCGAACCCGCACCCTTCGCAATCCGGACGAATCCAATGACCATTATTCTACCACGGCCCTATTCGTCGCGTCGAAATTTTCCTAGCCTTATTCATTTGACATTGTGGGTTGCCTACAATGCGAGGAGATGGCGCTACCTTGCCGCCAAAATTTCGATGCGGCGAATAGGGCTGCGGTAGCATGATGGTCAGTGCATTCACCCGGATTGCGAAGGGTGCGGGTTCGAGTCCCGTCCGCTGCCTGGTCCGCGTGGATTTTTTTCTAGTAAACTTTTCTTTAGATTTAAACATCTAGCAGTTAAATGTTAAAAAATAAATAAAAACATAATTACAGATTTCTTCAGAAATGTCCTAATTACAACTCGTTAGCCGCCGCACGAGCATAGGCATTGTTTAATAACGATCGTACAATGGGTTTTATCGTACGATCATGTAATAAAATACACCGATCTCTTTTGAATATCGTAATTGAAGCTAATGATGAAGATGGTTTAAGAATCGCATACGCACTCCAGGGTCTGCAGATTGGGCTATCTTGGGGACCGACGCGGCTACGAAAAATTTTTGATGACCACTTATCGCCCGTTGGGCTTAGATTAAAACAAAAAGGGTAGATACGGTACGCTTATACTTGCATCAAACAAAAACTGATCCCACGGCAGCGCGAACGGGACGGCGAGATCCGCGTCACTGCATTACCGACCCGAACGAAACAGCACGTTAGTTTCAACGGCAGCGATAACGAGACGGCGAGCTTCACCACAGTTTTGCCTGCGCAGGCCGGTTTGTACACGGAACACGGTGCGTGTAGTTGGTAAAACTGTATCACGCGCCAACCCCACAGCGCGGCCTGCGCATTTTTCGACTTGCTTGAAATTTTGCCTGCGCAAGCCCGGCCTGCGCGTACTCGTCTGTGCGTATGGTTGGGCGTTCAGTGTTCAAGCCACAGTCGAGTGTACTTTGTGTCGAGGCTTGCTCTTCGTTTCATGAGGTCGTTCGTCATCGTTACTCAAAAATGGCAGATTTGCGTACGTACAATCGCGAATTCACGTCTGAATTTATTAGTTTATACAAATCTCTGGCTGCACTCTGGAAAATTAAATCTAACGATTATTCCGACCGAAATAAAAAGAACAACGCCTACGAAAGAATGATAAATAAAATGAAAGAGGTAAGAACATAATTTTTGCAACTAAATACCTATGCCTAATACCTACTACCTACCTACTTGCACATATTATGTACATATTCTATTGTTTTTACGTTTTTTTTAATAGCAAATACTTGAAAAATAGTAGCATAAGAAATGTTTCTTCATTAGGAAACATTGTTTCCACGCCAATGATTTCGATACGAATGAGGCTTGCGCGTACTTAACTGTGCCGTGTGGTAACGCACAAAGTGTACAGTTTTTTCGTGCGAGATGCTTGCGCAGGCCAAACTGTGGTGAAGCTTGTGCGTGTGGTAAGCGCATTAGTGTGGTTGTCAAGGTAAAGTTTGGGCGTAGCGGTGAACATCAGTCGAGTATCGCCAATACCTTGCCAAAGTAATCGCCATAAGCTCATTAGCTATTAATCTCCCCTATGCTGGGATACAGTCATTACTTATGATATGGATGGAATATGCAGAACGGGCCACGACCGCAGCTCTCCTGCGGGCGACCTAGAAATATTAAGAGCCCTTTTACAAAATTGCGCCGCTGCCGTACTGATCGGCGCGTAGGTAGATTTGCACTAGTATATATTGCATTTTACGGGTGATGTTTCGAGTCTTCTAAAATAATTCTACTGCTGAACTAATTATAAAAATATATACATATTTCAGTAGTTTAATGATGGTAGATTAGTTTTATGAAAGTTTTTGAAAGTAATTCTATTTAATTCAATATCAAAATACGAGGTTATCCTGCATTATTTTTTGGGAAAACTCACGGGTTAGATGATTTTTTTGATAATTAATGAGATGGAAAATCAAAATTTTAATACATTATGTTACAACAAAAAAATATTTCTGACGTCGTAGTTATTAATTTGATCTAATTTATTGAACATTATTGAGAGATTGAGGCGTTTGAAGTTGTGCATATTATCGGTTTTTCCGTAAACTAGCTGTGGTAGAACGATCAGCACAAAAAAATGGGTGCGTGTACTTATGTAGGCGCGTGAGAAGTTATCCTTCTTTGGCATCGTTTAAAATTAGTTTTTAATTGCATGCAAATAATTAATTACAATAAATTAATAAAAAGTCTGGAAAAGGACACAGTCAATAAAGTTCAGTTTTAATTTGAAAAAATAAATAAATAATCAAAATATTCAATTAAAATCGCTACTGAATATAATTTATTAGAACATATGTGATTTGCACTTGTGGATAAATATTATAAATATGAATACCTATAACTGTTACTTTATTACAAAAAATAAAGATGTGGTTTTTGGTTCTACTACACCAATGGTCAAGAGATGGCGCTGTAGTCTCCTGAATCGCGCTTTGGTTCCGTTGTTCCAGATTAATAAATACTTTTGATAGGCCTTCACAATGCAGTCGTTAGCACCCACTAAATAGAGATTCTATTTCTATTTTGTTGGTAGATTTTCTTAATGTGCAGTAAACACATAAGTAACAGCATGCTGTTAATTTTTTGTGTTACAGTGATGCGCGCGCATCTTAAAATTTCACTCTCATCAATTTTTCATAACGCGCCTAAAGAAGTATAACTTCAAAAAAGAAAATAGTATTTGCAAATATTCTACATTAACTTACAGTAGGAAGAATAAATCTACTGTTTACTTCTATTGGAAATAGTCAAAATGTTTTCTAAGGGGGTAAACGAGGCGCTAAAAATTACGATTTTTTGCAAAAAATGTGAAAGGGCTCTTAAGGTTTTGTTCACCCATCCAATGACCGACCATTGCAAAAATTTTAGCAATAACACTCCCATAAAAAAAAACATCTCAAATAAATATACTTATCAGTAATGTCTGTTTATTTTTCAGCGTCAGCTGTGGGCGCTATGGGCATCGTCGGCAATTTCATATCTCCAGTACTGATGACCAAATTTGGTCGACAGAAAGCCCACCTGTTCTCGACCGTTCCAGCACTGCTAGGGTGGATTTTCTTCGTGATGGGTAACTCCGTGCCCCTGTTCCTGGTCGCCAGACTTCTCCACGGTTTAGCCCTAGGATTGAGGACACCATTGGCAGCCATATTGGTAGCTGAATACACCCACCCGAAGTACCGCGGCGTGTTTTTAGGTACATTTGCAATATCTTTGGGCTTAGGCATTTTCTTATCACATCTTTGGGGCGCCTCGCTGACATGGAAGATGACTGCGGGAGTCTGTGCTTTATTCCCCTTAATATCAATGGCTATTATCAGCCTTTCTCCGGAATCACCTTGTTGGTTAATATCAAAGGGAAAGTTTGAGGAGGCTAAAAAAGCTTTTCGGTGGGTAAGGGGCGAGGGTATTGAACAGCAGGAGGAACTCGACGCAATGATAAATTCTCAAAAGGAGGAGATGAACGTAGAGAAACAGAGGAAGGAAGTGAAGAAATTCACTTGCAACGGAATGTTCAGAGCAACAGTAGATGGTATCAAAGACGCCTTGAGGATATTCAAGAAAAAAGAGTTTTACAGGCCCGCCATCATAGCGATCAGTATGCTAATAGTCTTCGAATTCGGAGGCGCTCATATGTTCGCTGCTTACGGCAACACTATTCTTCAAGCAGTATTGAATAAAGCCGATGTCAAAGACGTAGCTTGGCAGTTCACCGTGATAGACTTGCTGAGGACAGTGTGCGCATTCTTTGCCATATTTCTGCTGAAATACTTCAAGAGGAGAACCATTCTGTTCACCAGTGGAGTTCTGACAATATTATCGTTATCTTCTATATCAGTTTTCATTTATTTGAGAGACTATAAAGTGTTTACGGCTCCCTGGTTGTTGGATGCAGTTCCTATGAGTTTGATGGTGTTTTACACTCTGGTTTTCTGTTTGGGATTAGTGCCTTTGAACTGGGTGATTTGTGGAGAAGTGTTTCCTTTGGCGTATAGAAGTGTGGGGTCTACATTGTCTACGTCATTTTTAACGCCGGCTTTTGTAGTGTCTATGAAGACAGCGCCTCATCTTTACTCGTCGATAGGGGTGCAAGGTGCCTTTTTAGTGTATTCTGCTGTTCTGACTGTATTCCTTGCTGTAATATACGCATTGTTGCCTGAAACTAAAGACAGGACTCTGCAAGACATCGAAGATAACTTTAAAGGCAAGCGTAAGACAGATCGAGAGGTGCAAATGACGCTGATCAATACAGAAGATGTGGTAGTAGTGAAATAAGTTTGAAATGAAAAACATATTGTGTATAAAGCAATGTTTTGTATATTTAAATATCTGTGATAATACAAACTAAACAGGTTGTTTATAACTATTAGTATAAAAATACAAGTGAATTTCTTTATTGAGAAAGCACAGAAATTATATCACCGTGAAGCATACTTTAATGGATGCATTAATTAAGGATTTATGTTAAGGATAATTTTAAGCGATACAATATTGATGAATACGTTTATTTGTACATTTTTTCTCACAATGGCCACTATAGTTACCTACCATTAATTTGTAAATATATCTTAGGCCTGTCACCTTTGATTAAAGGTTATAAGAATTTAATAGGGTAGTAGCCTAAATTCGAATTTACATTTATTATATGTTCTAATCAGAAAGTATTAAAAATAAAAAGATCCCTTTCTGTGAAAATATAGTTCAAATCTGTCACAAAATCAAATACTCAATTTATATTTTTCTAAACCTAAATAACTCTTAAGAAAATATAACTAGAAAAAATTCCACGCGGACCAGGCAGCAGACGGGACTCGAACCCGCACCCTTCGCAATCCGGGCGAATGCACTGACCAATTATGCTACCGCGGCCCTCACGGACCGCGTCGAAATTCTTTCTAGCTATTCTTAAGCTGCAAGGCTATTTATATATTTTTTCTAGTTATATTTTCTTTAGATTTAAACATCAAGCAGTTACATGCTTTAAAAATAATAAAAATTATAACTAAATAACTCTTATAAACTATTAAAGAAAATACTTTTACTATAATTTACTTTTACACACATCAAAGCCAAATTAATAAAATTAAGTAAACATAACAGTACAATAAAAGGCACACAGGATATTTTATTTTAATATGATAGGATTTAAGACAAGTGTTTAGAGATAATAATAATTGTATATGACACTGATTAATAATACGAGTATACTAATCTTTCTACTTCTTTTTGCAAAATGGCGGTCGCTTCTGTGGACTCCGCCAGACTCGAGTGATTTGACTTGGTTGTTTGGTATTGACTCTGCTTTTCTTTAAGTATGTTTTAAAAGCACAATATGTATATCAAAACTCAGAATACAGAGTAACAATGTACTTACTATTTTATTTTGGAATTACAGATCTATTGTCTTATCTGAAAGCTAGGGACAAACACATTCCGAACCGAATCTTTATCAGAAAGTTTAGAGGCGTCAATTGTGTCAATTCTGACACGATTCTCTAAACCTAAACTTAAATTTGACAACAGCGTATCCTTTTCATTCTCTATACGGAATGAAAGGGAAAGATTGATGTTAAATTTAGTTTTAAGTTTAGAGAATCACGCCAGAATCGACACCATGTATATCTCCAGTCAATCATAAACATTTTCTGCATCAAAAGCGTCCATGAATATACCCAAGGCTGCATAAGCAGAGTTTAAAACAATAAACAAGCCCTCACCGAACAAACATAGACAAGAAATTTTGGACACAAACACCAGATATTGGCCAAATCCTGAGGGAGCCATCACTGAAGAAATCTAATCTAATCTACCCATATATCACTTCTTTATTTTTCTCTGTCCTCTTTCTATACTATCTTACTATTCTCTTTCTGTAAATGCCGTCCTCTACCCCCTCTGCCCCCCACCCTCACCCAACCCGTGCTAGAGCATCTCGAAGCCGACACACGGGTGGTGTGGGAGGCGCAGAACTTAAGCTCATGTTTAATAATCAATTACATTTTATTAAAAACGCAAAACACTTGAGATTAACACAGGAAAAAAAAAATCTAATCTACCCAAGGCTGAAGAAATGTCAGGTTGAAAGACAAAAGATTGAAACGAGTTGCCGTAGCGTAGAGTGTGCAAAACAAACTGGTATATTGGGAATGGTAGACGAATGATAGCGAGAAAGCTATTAAATAAACCAGGTGGAGATTTATGTACCAAATTTTATTGGCAGATATTGATGTAACTTCTTTATTATAGGATGATCTCTGTTCTGAGTAATTTAAAAAAAAATATCTGCTAAATATTGCCTTCTGTTGGACAGTGGAGGGTCCGTGTATACCACATGTACAGGTCGCGGCACGTAACTCTAGAGCTGAACAATACGCGTCAGGGATATCTGCGCATGGGCACGACTGGAGAGCCAATCAGCGCAACGCACGCCCCCCCGCGCACCTCGTTTCCCCCCAACACATCTTAATTTTTACTTCTGCGCAATAGGGATGATGACTAATTTTTTTTTCTTCGTTTATCAGATAGATTATCTAAAAGTATTGGACTTGTATTTTTTCTTTTTTCACATAATATAAACATTGCAGAGATATATTGATTTGAAAAGTCGCATGACGTCACGTTTGAGTACACTTCTAAGTGAAAATTCACTCAAAAGTGACGACACGAGCCCCTACTCCCAAACTTTGACGCGCTATAACTTTGTCATTTTTTGGTTGATTGCCCAAAGAAAAAATACGTGTCCATTATTTTTTTATCATCTAACTGACGGACTAAATAGAATTTCATTTACTGTACCCCTTCATCACCCCTATTACGATCAGTGTTAGAGTTTCGTGCAGAGACTTATAGAACGTCGTTAACTGAGGACCTTTTAGCTCCCAAAATCATATGAAGACACTTAGACTACCATTAAGGGCATTCTACCGACTATACCACGGTAAGTGTTCTGAGGAGCTATTCTCGCTTATCCCTCCATCACCTTTTCTTCAGAGGACCACGCGCGCTGGCCTACGTTGCCACCGACTTACTGTGGCCACTATTCCTACACGAACAAAGAAAGGACATTGCTCGTTCACCATACATTGAATGCCCTAGAATGCCCAACAATGAGAAAATGCTAGTTGTGTTCGGAATCATTCATAAACTCTAAATAAGCATTTGTTGAGATACGGACAACTTGAGGAACCGTGGAAATTAATAAAAATAATAAATGCTTATATTCATATTGATTTATGAGTGTTGTTAGTTGGCACCTATGATACCTACCTGTAGTAGGTAATGATAGATTTCTTTTCAAATGAAATTTTCAGTCTTTCCATTTACCTGTTTCTATATACCGGTAATTAGGTATGTACCTGGTTATCATTATGATTTTCATAAAAATAAACAGATATTACATGGGACGGGAGTATAAACTATCTTTAGATAATTTCAGAAATAATCTTTTTATAAATATAATATAAATACTAGTAATAAGTATTATTAACTAAGGTACCTAGTTCTATTTTTATGTTGATAAATACCTATGGTCGCCTATATTGCATTACTAAAGTAAACAATCTTGGCACAACTTTTTAACAGAATCACCCATTTAATAATAAAATATTAACGAAGCCAATAAACTATTAAAATAAATCGGTATTATAGACTGAAACCTATTGAATCCAGTTATGAGTTGATTTTTAATGCTGTATTTTCAATAAAAAGGAGTGCCAAGTTGGATGAACAGACTGTAGTATCTAGTAACAGAACTTTTATTTTTTATTTTTTTAAACAGATTGTCCGTTTACTATGATTAATTGCTAATAAGTTAAAAAAATAATAGAACAATAATAGTGAAGAGCATTCTTTTGGGCATGCTAGGGCCGATTTCGTCGATGTCCTTTGGTGACTCATTTCTTGTCGTACTATTCGTAAGTGGAATTCTTTACCCGCGCACGTGTTCCCTCCTTCCTATAATCTGGGGTACTTTAAGAGGCGTGAAGAAGCATTTTTGCAGGCCGGCAAGGTGAGGATGGTTGAGGGATGAGCTCCCCCCCTAGGTTCCAAATAGAGAACTAAGAATATTTATATTGTTTTCGCACTTTATGAACATATTTGAGAAAACAATCTTATGTTGATCAAATTTTTATGTACTCTGTAGTTCAAATATGAGACAACACCAATGCAGGTAATCTTTTTACAATAAATACTTCTAAAGTACTATTTGTTTTTCATTTGATTTAATAAATGTTAAAAAAACAAATAAAATATTTTCAACAAATCTTTGGTTTATAAGCAATTTCTTATAATATACACTATTTTTCAACCAGCATGTACACACCTTTATATTAAAACAGCAATATTATTTAAGCCCAACATTTTATAAGTATCTTAATATTTTTTTTAAATACGAAAGGTTGATTTAGGTGTTTTATTAACATAACATCTTTAAAATGTATAATAGATTAAAAAAAGAAGCTATTTTTCTGCCTCAATTTAACAAAAAAAGTTTATAAAATATTTTGCCGTTGCTTTTGCCTTGCATTCTGTCATTCATAAACTAACTTAACAATAAGTAATTAAACATTAATAGTATTTTATCACTACTATAGGCACATTTAATAAAAATATTTGGTCTACACCATGGCTATATATGGGTTGAGATGTTATTTTAATAAATTTGAATAAAATGCAACTTAGAGTTTCGTTACACCAAAGATGAATGATTGGTCTCGCAGGGAGACCAATCATTTATCTATGCGTTACACCTTACAATCTAATCAGCTTTTGTTATTAACATAGAACAAAGCTGTCACCCTAATCAATTTTTGGTCTATAACTTGAAGAATTTAATATCTTAAAGTCCACTTATTTCTCAGATCATTTAATCAAGCAAGCGCTAAGACATGCTATCGAAGTTGCATAATATCAAATAAACATTGTTGAATAACAGGAACTATGCTAATAGAAATCAATATTTAAATTAATCCTATGCAGTGATTTGGCAGTAACTCATTGACATGTAAAATTGAATTTTTGTTGTGTTTCTATGTTTATAATTGTTTATAAACATGGGTTATGAATATTGAGCTGCATTTTAAGCAAAGTTATTTCGTAACATCTTCGATCAACAATTCTATGGGTAACGAGTCAGCAATCTGTCTCTGTAAATATAACCTCTATTGAGGTGTGAGGTCTTTTTTTAAATTAGTTCGGTTAAATAAAATGTAGTGTAACTCGCTGGCCAATGACTGGCATAAGCGACTTTTAATTTTTTCCCCTTTATCGTTTTATTCCAAGTATCAGATATAATTTATAAAAGGAACAACTTCGTTTTATAAGATACTAGCTGACCCAGCGAACTTCGTACCGCCCTAAAAAAATAGGGGTTGTCCAGCGGACAAAATTGTGAATCTGAACCATTCTCAGATCCCCTTGAACACACACAAAAAATTTCATCAAAATCGGTCCAGTCGTTTAAGAAAAGTTCAGTGACATACACACTCACAGAAGAATTATATATATAAAGATAAGGTTGTATGTGCGAAATATCATTTTGTTATTTATAACCTTCTCCTCTGTGAGATAGTTGTCATTATTTAACTTAAACTGTTTTATAACATTTATCTTTGTTCATTGAGAATTGAATGTAGCTGCATAAGTTTAAATTAATGCTGACAGTTTTTAGCTTCGATTTCAACCCGTTATCTCTAGTATAATTGTTCCAAGCTCAACACATATATGTATGACTTTATATCTCACACACAATAGTCAGAACATGATAAGTGAGATAGGTAAAGAGGTATACATAAATATAATTATGTATAAACATCACCTAGCCACATCTAAACTAGGTACTCCAAATCTCTTACTCAGGAATAGCCTTCCAGATTTTCTTTATTTTCTCAATTTTAAGGTCAGGGGGACCAAACAAAAATGGTCCCACAGACTTTGGCCCCAGGTTAGTTAACAAGTTCACACGAACCTGGTTCAGTATTAATGTTGATAGAGGGGTGCGAGTAACTCCTATCTGCTGCGCGCAGACTCCTGTTATGTGGACATCATCAATCCAGAAATAAGGCAGCTTCTGGGCCACAGAAAGAAGCTGGGGAACTACATCTTGAGAATACAAAATTGCCCAACCTGGAAATAAATTTGGAATATTGTGTTAAGATTCAATGTTATATGTAATTAAAGTGTACTTCCAGGGCCCAAGAGGATACTTAATTTTTTTTAATGTAGAAAGGTCTCTATTAACGAAGTTTTTTTTCTGGTGCTTCGCCAGCCGCTACCACGGAACACTCGCTTTCCTTACTTGGCTTGAGCGTTATGGTCACAACACTAACATATAGTGTAGTTTAACCACTTGCCCTGCCTGCCCTGGAAGTACAGTTTAGCCCATTTCATAACCTACTGCAAAAAATGCAAGTGATAAAACCAAGCTCGTAGATGTACAAAAACTTTATATCTTGAAGAAAACTTTGGTACAGTGGATATCACTTATTACGACCTTGGTTGTAACGACCATTTGCCTATAGCGACGTTAAATCTAAGTCCCTTGAATTTATAGCATACTTAAGTACAAAATTCATGTGGCTATAGTGACTTTGGATGTAACGCCAAGTTCGGGTGTAGTGACTGTTTTTAATGAATAATTTGTAGCAAATTCCTAGAAATCCCATGCACTTGTTACAATGGTGGTTCTGTTGGCTTTCTTATCTTTTGTTTACATCTGCACAGATGGTCAGCAATTGTGGTGACCTTTGTTTATAGTTATTAGTTAGGGACCCATACTACACAGGTAAGCGTGTATGTTTCGGAGTTAAAATGATTCAGTTACAAAATGGGATTTTGAGAGACAACTGCAACAACTTGAATTTTGAATAAGTATGGCTCCTAGATGCTCATTCACTGTTAAAGAAAAGGCGGAAATCATTCAAAATTAAATATGGTGACAACAATAGTTATTTGTGTAAGGAATACAAAGTTTCACAATCAACAATATCTAAGGTGTGGAAAAACCGTGACAAAATATTAGAATACTTGGAATCAAAATCTTTGAAAATTAAGAAAAACGAAGCTGTTATTCCATCACATACAACGCTTTATGAAGAAAGTGAGAAGGAAGAAGATTGCAAAGAACCTGAGATTCCTACTACTAAAGATCTTTATGTGTTATATCTAAGCTCATAAGATATTGTTTATTTGGTGATGGACAGGATATTATAGACATTAAACAAGTGATGAAAATAGAATATGCCCTACAACATGCACTTGCTCAAAAAATAAATTAAAGCAAAGTAATATTACACAATATTTTAAATGTACCAATGATTAACTACATGTGCAAAAACTTTCAACAATAAGTGAACATAACTAAACTGTGTGTGTCTGTATACCTAAGCCTATTTCGACTCCCGGATATAACTACGAAATTATCCGGTCCCTTCAATGCCGTTAAATCCGAAATCTACTGTAGCTTAATTATTATACGATAACTTTTCTACCACAGATTGCCATATGAATGATATTACCTGCACAGTATGTGGGGTAATAGTGTGCTGCATACTCTTTAGGCGATACTCTCCATTTAGACATTTGTGATCTTTGCACTTGAGCATGTTCCAATACTTGACATGTTATAAGCCTCCTTGCACCCCAAGGAGATAACTCTCTAGCCAAAAACCTTCTCAGTTCATGGGAATTCACCACCATATCATCATCAGTCTTTAAAACATATTTAGCATTTGGGCAATGATGCGTTACCCACTTCAATCCCATCACATGCTTGTACGTCATATTCCTGTAAGCATCAGCAAAGTTACCTTGCACGATATCACCGTAAACTGAACTCTCGTTCTGAATTTTCTCATTGACAGACGCATTATTAAGTTCACCCATAAGGAACACAACTTTAGTGGAATCCACTGAACGACCCCAAGTGTTACGTATCACCATTCGGTTCTCATAATTGGTTGGTTTCGAGGAGATTATTACTACCAACAGCAGTCCTGCTGGATAACCTGCACAGGGCTGAGGGTTCATTTTAAAGGAGAAATTTCTTAAATTTATTAGCTGGTCATATGCATCATCAACTGCATATTCTGAAGAGTTGTAAGGTCCAAGAAGGGAGAACTGTGGATTCTTCACACGCACGACGACAGGAGCAGTGGTATAATAATAGTCATAAACGAACATAAGACCAAAAATAACAATCAATACTTTGTGTAAGGTTTTCATATCAGATTTTTCCCGTTGGTACTCAGTCATAGTAATATTCTTTACAAATAAAATCAGGAAAAATGTCTTCTCTTCGGCATGGGTCTCTGCAAATCTTACTTGATATATTAATGTATTTTAAATTAAAATATAGCGGCAAATAAACATGAAAACTAATTTATGTGTGACATGACATTCATGACAATAAACAATGTAAAGTTTTAAATATTCCTCTTTTATGGGAAGGCAAAGGATACTAAGTCTACACAGCTCTATCTTTTGTATTTCTGTTTTTTTTCATTGCTTTTTATACTAGTCATAGACTTCGTATTTAAAGACTAACGCGGCCAGAAGGGGAATAGGCATACGCAGATTTCCCCTATCTATTGGGCATAGAAACGATATATACATAGTGTTTTAAGGCCTTTGAAGTCTCATGTAATGCCGCTTTTGTCTAGACATTCGTCATTATTTAAATAAATAAAAAATCAAAAACGCAGGGTTCTCATTTTTTTTATTTTTTTTTACTGTATTCCATAATTACTGCGAGTACAGTATCCTATCCTATATTAATACTACTTACTACTATCCTTTATTTCAATGTTATAAATGTGAAAGTTTGTATGTTTGTTATAAGGCGCGTCTACACAGAACGAGCAGCATCGCGAGGCAATTACCGCTCGGTTAATGTGGACGTGGCTCGGCCGAGGCTAGCACGCGCTGCCGCGGGTGAGCGACCGAGTGCCCGAGCCATCGAGTGACGGTTTTGCTCTATTCGTTTGCTGCGCATACACTGGACGCTCGCTTATTTTGTATCGTGCCTCGGTGAGCATAATAAATATGAATAAAATCAGTATATGAAATTAATATTTCTCTATGGTATAAAGACCTGGCTATGGAATGCAATAAATCTTAATTTTACAAATAGAGGAATAGAGAATTTAGATGCCTGCCTGGTTAATTATAGCCACGAGATGAATGCCCCGGTTCCTGATTTAAAGAGTTGTCTTCTCTTTTTTATAATCTTATTTTTAAGGATAAAAGCAACAGCTGTCACCGCAACAAGTACGTATGGTGCCATAATATCTGAATTCTCAATCGAACGAACGAACAAAATGACTCGAGCTTGCCGCACTCGGGCTTCGGGGACAGTTTTCTCGCGCGGCAAATGCCTCGCGAGGCTGCTCGCTCTGTGTAAACGCGCCTATTGAATCGCGCGGAAACTACTGGATAAAATTTGGTACGCTTAAACACCCTCGAAAACCTTGAATGCAATACCCATATCAATTTTGTTGAAAAAGGCAAGTCTGCTGTCTTGTACCTCGAAATTAATGTTGTAGTTGAAATCAGTATCCCCGAAAACCATGAATACGAAAGCAGTAAATACTAGACTTGCAACGAATAGTATATTCGGCAGTTTTGTACTCCCTACGTGTTGCTCCATGTTCCCGCAACCGAAACGATGATAAAGATCATAAAATCGTATTTTTAGTGTGACTTAATTACAAAAAAAAATATTGTCTGTAAAGTCGATTTACGGACGATAATTTAAAGTGATAACTAGAGATCGGATAATCGGATGCATATTCACCTAAAATATTTTTGGTACCATTGTTATTGCATTTTCACCAGACTTACATAGGTGTTCATATTCCAGCTTTTGTAAATCAGATAGCAAGAAGTGGTCGAAAATGGTTTACAATTTTTTAAGCTATATATTATTACAAACGAACGGACCAAGTTGAATAAAATCTTGTGAAAAGTCAAAGGTAATATTCAAAAGTAAACAGAAAAAAATAAACATTAATTATCGTTTTGTTCAATCCTGTAATTAATTTTAAACCTAATGGCATAATGAAGGCCGCCAAGAGTTTCTTTTAATTCACTGTAAAGGGAAATGGACGAAACGGGTGGCTACATGTAGGTACACTACGAATAACAAATTGTATTTTTCCACTAAAGTTACCTAGCGCGTCTATAATGAAAGAAGGAGGTACCTTTATATTTTACGTCATCCCACGTTGGGCGCCAGGAACTGAAATTATATTTTTCTAATTCTTAAATCCAAATCAAGAAAAGTGTATTTAAAACTTCAATGGGTGGGCTTGGATACTAGGACGTAGTACTTACCAGTATTGGAACGGCCAATGCGGAGAGCGAAGCCCTAATATCGGCGACTGTGGGCTTACCGCCACTTGAGCACGTCTCGATCGCTTCGCGGACATAGCAGGAGCTGCTATTTCTTTAAATTAATACGCAGATATGTTTTTTTTTCTTGTGCCGCTATTTTCCAGCAAGCGGTTCTCAATATGTACCATGGTTATCAACTTTAGTTAAAATATGCTTCATAATCTTCAGACCTAATGTACTTTGTGTTAACATTCCTACTTACATATATTTTTGTAAATCTGTTTATATTGCAATATGGTATATTAATTTATTCATTCATTAACATAACAATTCACCTATTTGAAATTATATAATTAATCATCGTCGTTTTATAACTTTTACTCCTACCTTTTATTTTATTACTAGCTGACCAGGCGAACTTCGTATTCGTACCGCTTACAATATTAAGTAAGAAATGAAAGCTATAAACAAATAATTTGCAATAAAATAATATTGCGACTATAAATTGAGATGTAAGCTAGCCTATCTTTTAAGTTGCATTAAACTGCACACGGTGTGCAAATTTGATTAAAATCGGTTAAGTTTAGGAGTCCATCCCGGACAATCAACGTGACACGTAATTTATATACTTATATTAAGAAGAAGATGAGGAGCTCGATGGCGCAGAGGAGCTCGATGGCGCAAGTGGTTAGCGCGTTCGGCTGCGGTCGTTCAAGTTAAGCAACTTTCGCAGTGGTCGGTCATTGGATGGGTGACCAAAAATTTACTATCTCGAGCTCCTCCGTGCTTCGGAAGGCACGTTAAGCCGTTGGTTTCGGCTGCATCTGCAGTCGTTAGCACCCACCAATCCGCACTGGGCCCGCGTGGTGGGTCATGGCCCAATCTCCGTATTCCATCCATAGGGAAGGCCTGTGCCCCAGCAGTGTTGACATTAATAGGCTGATGTTGATGATTAAGAAGATAAGGAGATTAGGTTTAAAAATGTTTTAGCTTTGAAGGGAAGAATCAATACTAATATTTTAGCGGTTAAAGCAGCTTTGTATATTACTTAGACTGCCGCGTGTTCGAGTGCCACCGTCTTTGAGTTCAAACATGTCCCGCATTGGCCACCCTCGATAGGTACGCTTATTAACCTCGTTCGGTGACAGCATTACTTCTTTTGTATTGCAAATCGTCCTTTTATACATATTTGAGGACTATTTTTATAGGTACTTATATACCTAGGTACCATACAATCGCAGACGATTAGGGGGAAGGCGACTGCGGTACGCCCATCTCCTACCTCCTTAACGTAGCCAGCGGGCGTAAACGGGGTAGTTTGCGTTCGCATTGCACGGCATCGTTCGTCTGGGAGGGACGCCCCGAGTGTGCGGGGGCATCCCTCTACATGTGAGGAAAGCCCGGTGCAATCCGGGCCCCGCCGGGACGGTGTGGTGAAGTCCCATACAAGGATCCCACGCCGTCATAATCGGCAGAGCGGGAACACGCAGCTTGTTTCAGTGTATGGTTTTAAATCGACTGCATCAACTGTCCCCTCAGGCGTCCCGCAAGGCTCCCACTTGGGTCCTATTTTCTTTCTGGCTTATATTAATGATATATGTAATCATATCTGTCATAGCAAGTTCAAACTGTTTGCTGACGACCTAAAAATATATAAAACCATCAACAGCCCTGACGATATGGTCTTGCTGCAAAATGACTTAAATAATATTACGGAATGGTGCAAGCAAAATTGTATGTTGCTAAACTCTGAAAAATGTTCCTTCTTGCGGCTTTCCAAAAATAAAATTATTTATAATACTAATTATTATATCGAAAATAAAAAACTAAAACAAGTGGAGTGTGTTCGGGACTTGGGAGTTTTAGTCGACAAATTTTTAAATTTTCAGAATCACTTTGACTATGTGATTAAAAGAGCTTCGAAATTGTCAGGATTTATTAATCGTCAGATGAAGGTTTTTAATAAACCGGACCTGTCGCTTAAAATATTTAACACCTTAATTCGAGGAATCTTGGAGTACTGCAGTACTGTGTGGAATCCGGGATACCAAGTGCACTCAGATCGCATTGAACGTATACAGAAACGCTTTCTTTACAACCTTGCTTATTCCGATCATAAATGTCGTGTGCTAAGATCTTACGAACAGCGACTTTCTCATTACAAACAGCAATCTTTAAGAGACCGAAGAAGAATTGTTGACATTATATTTCTGTGTAAAATAATGCGCGGTTACACTGTTTCACCTTTTGTATTACAGCGCAGCAAATTATTCGTGCCTCGACAAAACAGCCGCTTGCAAAATAGAAAAACTTTCCAACTTCCTTCATGCCGGACAAATCTTGGTCAGCATTCGCCAATCTATCGGATGTTGTCTGCTTGTAATGCAGTTAGACATAGTGTTGACATTTTTGGCGACTCTATTGCGGTAATGAAAAAAAAGCTAAGAAAATTGTTGCAAATGTAGATGTAAGGGCAGTATTGTGTACATAAAATATTATAAAGAATTCTAACATTATTTATAAAGTGCATGCTGTGTTTGCATTTATAAGATTTGTGATACTGTTATGATACACTGTATGTAATTATTTTGTCATTTTCACATTTCGGTTTTGCAAACCAAATAATAAAAAAAAATGGTTGCCTGTAAAGTCGGTTTTACGGGCGAAGATTTTACGTGACAACGTCTTTTTCTCGGTAGAATATTTATTGATATGAATATAATTAAATTGCACAATAGGAACAAGGAATTGAATGAAAATAAGAATTGCACAAATTTTAACTATAGAAATATATTTTGTTTACTAAAACATTGTACATGTAAACTTAAACTTAACACGAGAGACTCATCGTAACGTTACCGAGCGTTACACTTTTTCATAAGTGACTCCCAGCCGCAACCTAATTTAAGACGTTGTCACGTCAAAAAAAAAAAAAAACACCCCAGTATTTTAGTGGGTATGCCCGCGGGCGTTCACCTGCTCATGAGCTATGACCAGCTGAACGCACGTGGGAGAGCCCCACATAACCTCGTCGCACACCCAGCGGCGCGGTATGCATTAGGCTGCATTTCACTGGGTCAAAAAAAAAGGTACCATACCATAGGTATAAAGTCCGCACTGCTGGGGCACAGGCTTTTCCCATGATCGACATGCTCACTGCGGATTGATGAGTCCGCAACTATAATGAAAGACATATTTAGTTATAGCTCAGCTATAGGTATTAATGGCATATATAAAAACCATTGTAAGTACCTAAAATTGGTCATTGGTCAAATTAACTAACATTTATTCTTGTATAAGTAAGGATACTTACATGGAGTAAGTAAGCTTTTATAACTTATATAAAAAGGGTTAATTTCCGCGGCGGTTTATGGATAAAAAAAAATAAAAATAACTAGCGACGCTATTTTTGGTTTTCGCGACACATCGCGACGGATTTTCTGCTTGAATTGGAGCACCCGTCTGGAGAACCAACCTTGTAACCTTAGGGTGCGGCCAGAGTGCACTCAGATTCAGATTCCGAAAACAAGCGCGAGAAATAAACAGTGTAGTCTAAGCAGGTTGCCAGCTTTTTATCGCCCTTTTTTTTCTAAGTCTGAATCTGAATCTGAATCAGGAGTGCACTCTGGCCGTACCCTTCGACTACACTGTTTATTTCTCGCGCTTGTTTTCGAAATCTGAATCTGAATCTGAATTTGAGTACACTCTGGCCGTACCCTTACAAAAGATCACAGTAAAATACCAGTACCTTTCGGTGGTGTCTGAATTTCCAGGGCTCCACGGGGTAGGGGATCGGGTCAGGGTAGGTAACTTTTGCCGCTTACCGTTAGTCTGAGTATGTTTGTTTGTCTACCTTCTCATATTGAAAAAAAATGGGTGCGTGTACTTATGTAGGCGCGTGAGAAGTTATCCTTCTTTGGCATCGTTTAAAATTAGTTTTTAATTGCATGCAAATAATTAATTACAATAAATTAATAAAAAGTCTGGAAAAGGACACAGTCAATAAAGTTCAGTTTTAATTAGAAAAAATAAATAAATAATCAAAATATTCAATTAAAATCGCTACTGAATATAATTTATTAGAACATATGTGATTTGCACTTGTATGACATGAAACTCAAACACGTATTCCGAATATACAAACTAGAAACATGTGGATAAATATTATAAATATGAATAAACTGAAGAAACTGTTACTTTATTACAAAAAATAAAGATGTGGTTTTTGGTTCTACTACACCAATGGTCAAGAGATGGCGCTGTAGTCTCCTGAATCGCGCTTTGGTTCCGTTGTTCCAGATTAATAAATACTTTTGATAGGCTTTCACAATGCAGTCGTTAGCACCCACTAAATAAAGATTCTATTTCTATTTTGTTGGTAGATTTTCTTAATGTGCGGTAAACACAAAAATAACGCATGAAGTTGCTGCAACTTCATGCTGTTAAAATTTTGTGTTACAGTGATGCGCGCGCATCTTAAAATTTCACTCTCATCATTTTTTCATAACGCGCCTAAAGAAGTAAACTTCAAAAACTAAAGTATTCAATTAAATAGTGTTTTTAATAAGAGGTTATAAAGCATAGACGCTGTAAAAGACGTGTAAGTTTCTTTGGAATTGGAAGTTACCTATTGATTTTTCCCTTACGCTGAAATCATATTCTTTCTTTTGATAAAAAATATTGTTGTTAAGTACGTACAAAACATATTTCGAAAGCTATCAGGCATCTCTCGACGGCAACCCTTATCGTCACTTCAAAACATTTCAAGTGGCCATGGTATATTGCTCGCCACAGTTACATCGCGCATGCCCCGTGAAACGGAACGCATTGGTCAAACGAGATGATTTTTCGCGGTCCGGCATTACATTTCCCGCGATTGACCGACATCTGTCAAAAGTTGGCGCCCTTTTTTGCGCGGCTTTATTTTTTTTTATCATTTTAGGCGAAAGTTATTAATTTAATCAGTAATGTTTAATCACCACTGAATTTATTCGTATTTTTAATATTGTAAAGGAAATATACAAATAGAAAGAAAATAAATTAGGAATATTAAATTTAATAATCAGTCACATAGTAGGAAATCTAGATAGGATGTGTTTAATATACTATGGAGTAAAATACAGAACTGTTCGGCTCTTATATTAAAAACGGTTAAAACCTGAAAAGTAGGGATTGATTCCTTGAAAAAAATACAAAATGGCAGCCCAGAAATTACTATGGCTGAGTACGGTGCTCCTGCGATTGTGGCTCGGTGCGACGGATTTGTGCTACGCCCAGTAAGTAATTTATTTGCAATGCCATCTAAGTATAGTAGGTAGTAGGTATAGCTTTAGGAATTGTCCCTCTAGTCTTCCTCATCATCCTCATCATCATCAGCAGCAGCCTATTAATATCCCCACTGGTGGTGCACAGGCCTTCCCTATGGATGGAATAAGGAGATGGGGCCATGACCCACCACGCGGGCCCAGTGCGGATTTGCGGGTGCTAACAACTGCAGATGCAGCCGGGACTAACAGCTTAAAGCGCCTTCCGAAGCACGGAGGAACTCGAGATAGAAGATTTTTGATTGAAGAAGACCGATCCAATAACCGACCACTGCGAAAGTTGCTTAACTTCGACGATCGCAGCCAAACGCGCTAACCACCCGAGCCATCGAGCTCCTCACAGCCACCCTTTTTATTTATTTATTAATAATGACCATAGACAAGGAAGTCTGCGCAGTAGTAGCAATGTTATATACAAAAACATCTACTGTGCAAGTTAATTGGTTTGTAGTTATGTTCAAGAACAACCCCAATCATCACACCCTCTTCACCTGTGCGGGTGCATGCTCATAGGAGTCTATTCAAAAAAACTTAAAAGGTAGTATAATATATTTTGTCTATTTCAAATGTGCATTTACCATTTTTTTATTAATGTAATAAAGTAACTCCATTAGCAATTTAAATATTATTGTGCAGGAGTACATGGCATAAATTCAAACCTCTGTGGTTTAAAGGGGCGGTTGATCACAAAATGCAACATTATAATTATTATTTCTTTGGAACTGGTAATAATAATAATAAAACAAAAGAATAACATGGATTTTTATGAAATGCACATTCACTCACTTTATCAAGTGTCGATCGCCTCGCTCGTAAGCTGAGAACGAGTGAATTGCAAAAGGACATAATTTATTATAGTGAAACTTTTATTATATTGCCTCAATTTTTTTCAGTCATCATAAGAATGTTGTTTTATGCCTAAACAGTAGGACGCGGCATTCCTAAACTTTTTTTTAAAATCTGTTTTTTATATTTTTTATTTTATAGTCATAATTGTTTTATCATTTACATTTGTAATGGAAAGTGACTTCATGAGTTATCTCATATTGAAATCATTTTTCAAACTGACGACTCTGTATTAATACAGGTAGAAGAAAACAGCCCCAAGAAACTCGGCAAGGGCTGTTTTTTTCCGGTTCTTCTCAGTACAAGGTCTGCCGCCGTAGATTTGCGAACCGATGGCGTAGCTTCTCGACATTCACAAGTGCTTGTAACAGCCTAGACTGAATAAACGATATTGAATTTGAATGTCCTACTAGCAAAACTTTATCGAAAAAAATACCCAGCACGTTTCTATTTGAGCTATTGGTGGAGAGACTGATCTTCAAAATGTCGATTGAGCGACACGCACGTTCTTTCGACGCGATTTGGGTACACTTCTCTCAGCTTTAAATGCTATGAATATTGTAAAATTATCATTAGAACAACCAAATAGGTGAAAGAATATCGAGTTATCGCAAACCTAAGTGTAATTAGTGCTATGATTTGATGTCAGTATGCCGTCATCCCACATATTAGCTGTTTACAAGTCGGTAGAACCTCTTTTATTCGACTTATTTATAGAAAAATAGTTGTCCGGTCGCTATCACTCGACTGTTTAATCGCGTAAAAGTTATCAAGCAATGCTCATAGAATGTTTTATTTATCGTAACTTTTAGTCAATGTTGCGCAAGTTCATGAAAAGAACAAAGAAAATATAAATAAGGTTTCTGCCATTTATATATTATGCCACAATTTTACAGAACTTATACACTAGGCGTCAAAAAAATCGTCATTTGAAATCCCAATAATTAAACTTAAAAAACCCCCCAAATAATTTCATTAAAAAAAAGCTTGATACCACTGAACTTGTGATCCTTTAAAAGAGGCGTGAAGAAGTGAGGATGGCTGGTGTGGCAGGTATAATTCCAGTATCAGCTATCTTCGCGTCTGGACTTCATCTTCACTTATCATCAGGTGGGGTGGAGTCATTTGTCGGACCTATGTTTATATATAAAAAAAGTGACTTTAAAAAGAAATGCCAATTTTGCTCTTAAAAAGGGCCACAACTTGCGCTACCCTTAGTGGATATGTATATATATTTTTAATTGTTTTAGGGACTTTTGGACCAAAATGTCCATACCAGCCCCATCGTAACCCGACCATACAATTTTCTTAAAATTATTTAATTACTTAGCAAAGCACACCAGCCTGCTCCGATAGGGGGTTGGCTAGGATACCTTGCAATACGCCAGTTTCAAACCTATTCATTTTAAGAATGGAGAATGCATGTCTCCTTTGCGCTTCATTTTTGACGCATTCCATTAAAATGTGTTGCAAATCCTCCACTTTCTCACATCTTTAGTGGCTATAAAAGAGTTAATACAGGTTCAATGGGTGTTATTCGCTATCCAATCGTTGAAGAGGACACGCGAGAAGATAGTTCACAAAAAAAAACACCTTGACGATGAATACCCCTGCCGATGAAGCCGCTCAAGTGATCGCACTACTGCAATCAGGGATGCGGCAGTGTGATGACGCTCGGCAATTGAACTTGAGCCGTTTTTCGGTTCGAACAGCATACCAGCGGTTTCTGGAGACCAGTGGCCATATCCAGAGGCATGGGTCTGGTAGACGTGGCTGCACATCGGAGAGAGACGACCGATTCATCGTAGCAACATCTCTAAGAAATTGGTTCTCTAATGCTATATTTGTTTCTTAGGTTTTCACGCACATCACTTATTAAATAAAACTAGTTTTTACGGGTTAATGCACGAAACTTTATTTATTTATTGACGTTTCGTAGCCTTTACAGGCTTCGTCGTCAGAATAAAACTTTTATTTAATTTGTCGAGCTACCTTCGAAAGATAGCTCGCTCAAAAAAAGGCTCAATAAAAGTCTTTCGAAGGTAGCTCGAGAAATTAAATAAAAGTTTTATTCTGACGACGAAGCCTGTAAAGGCTACGAAACGTCAATAAATAAATAAAGTTTCGTGCATTAACCCGTAAAAACTAGTTTTATTTATTCTCTAATGCTGTTGAGTTGCAACAGCAGCTCCAGGGTGCTCCCAGAACAACCGTGAGCGTTTCTACGGTTAGACGAAGACTGAGGGAGAAGAAGATGGCGGCTCATAGAGCTGCTACGAGTCTAAAATTTGAAACATTGAATAAATCCTGATAGGCGGTATGTCCCCTGGTGCTATAAGCATTGCATGATATAAGCAAGAAACTGGTGTTAATTCTGGCAGGTTCTCTAAAAATAAACTATTATCTGACAACAGTGAATCCTTGTCATTTTCGAAACAGAATGAAACCGAGAATTATGTTAAATTTAGTTTAAAGTTAAAGTAGAATCATACCAGAATCGACACCACTGTAGAGTAAGCATCGTTTATTTACTGAGAAAGATATTATGTGCAGACTACTACCAGACCATTCACTTAAAGAAACGCATTTCATTAATCGTAACTTGTTAATGACTTATTGCTTTGAATGTTTTGTTGTCTCTGTCTGTTATAAAAATATATGTATGTATTTTTTCATAACAGACAGAGACAACAAATCATTCAATGATCAAAAATCCTTGTTACATTTTGTCGTATAATGGCGTAATGCATATCAAACTACTGTCTAAATTGACAGCTATTATCCCGGACTAATAATCATTTTCAAGGCCAGAGTGAACAGGCATCTTCTAAGCAGGCGTGTACCATCCTAGGCCTCATCATCGCTCTCCATCAGGCGAGATTGTGGTCAAACGCATTGCCTATTATGCATAAAAAAAAAACTATTAAATTCGGAAATCAGGGTTTATTTTACAGATTTGCGTTAAAGATCTGAATTATTGTGAACCTACGCAAAGCAACCCCGTCCATACATGTTAGCCTAGGAGAGTGTGCCTTTTCTGCAAAGATAGACGCAGAAGAGTATACAGAAGACAGGGAGAACGTTACGCCCAAGGCTGCATCCTGGAGACAGTGGAATTCGGGTTGTTTCATGTATGTTTTGGGGCGGTATGTCGGCGACGGCAAAACCGGCCTTGGAAGCGTCTCCCGGACTGAGGGTGCTCCGCGGGCAAGTGTCGCTGACTGCTCACCTGTACGTCACAGAGATCCTGGAAGAACATGTGGTCCCCTATGCCGGTTTTGTTGGCGAGGGGTTCACATTAATCCATGATAACACTCGCGCTCACACTGCATTAACTGTGCGAGACTGCCTTCAAGAGGTTGGGATCTCTGTCATGCAGTAACCAGCGAGAAGTCCAGACCTGAACACGATAGAGCACCTCTGGGACCATTTGAAACGGAAGGTTCGGTCTCGTGGACCCGCTCTCACGACTCTCCAGGAGCTCGAAGAGGCCGTTATTGAGGAATGGGCCAGTGTCCCTCAAAAAGAGCTCCTAAAATTGGTAAGATAAGTCAAGTCAGATAAGATAAGTTAAGATCCATTAGGGAGCATATGGAAGCCATCATCCGGGCGAGATGGGAGTAACACTAGGTTTTAGATTAGTTATAAGAACCTTTTTGTATTATTTTTTTGTGTAATTAATCTGTTTTTAATTAGAGCTTAATTGAGGTTTTTTATTGTTTTGTAAACTTTTTTTTTTGTACTGTTCGAATAAAAAATAACAATTAATTTAATTGTTTTTTTAAGTTTATTTAATGGGCTTTCAAATGCCATCAATATGGGAGGGGGGGGGGGGGGTAAATGCGTGTGATAAGGGTTATAATTTATAATTTATAACGCTTGAAAGTTATATTTTTTGTGCCCAAAATTAAAAGCGATAAAATAAGGGATTTGAAAGTTCTTAACAAATAAATAAATAAAGGGATGACATTTGTATATAAAATTATTAAAAAACGCATGTTTAGTCGGCACTATCTGTAAAAAACTATGTTGCAGGGCTGGTTCTTGATTTACGTGTCGTCTTTATAGTCTGAATAATAGAAAAAGTTAAAAATTCTAACCAAACGAAGCAGAAAGTGAATATTTTAAAGTATAGGGATTAATAATCCAATTAATCCCTATACTTTTGCAGATTGCAGAGCGAGCACATTATCTATTCATGTTGGCAAATCTTTACAATAGCCGGGTAATATACATTAATATATAATGGACTTATATCAAATAGCCTTTGTCTCCGTTTCCCGGCATATGGGCGATGGTAGAATTATAAACTCTTTTCAATTACTGGACGTTCAGAAGGACACAATTACTATTGTTTTGGCGTATATCATTCGCATTTTTCGCCGCTTTTCGCCTACACTAAGCTACAATAATGACGATATATGCCAAAAACGTTTTTATTGTAGCTAAGTGTAGGCGAAAATCGGCGAAAAATGCACGAACCATTTTTTTTATTTATCATATGGGCTACCAACATAAGTTAAAGCAGTTCTTGGTACAAACAAAGCTCAAATTGCTTATAGCTTACTGCACTTACAATTAAGGTAGCCACAGCATGTGTTAAAAAAAAACACAAACAATATAAGCAGGCACATAAATACATAAAAACAGCATCAAAAAGGGAAGCACCAACTACAAGCATGAGCGGCGAAAGGCAAATAAAAAGGTCCCTATGTAAGAAGTAGGCGAAAATAAGCTGATTCAAATGCAAAATGGCGGACTAAATGCAATAGGCATTCTCAACTAGTCAACCAGTAAGAGTGTTGGAGACAAATGGCTCTTGTGAACGTCCAGGTGGAATTTTATTGCAACTTTGTGACTCGCCAATTTCCTCCAGCACTCCTCCGCCAAAATTTACAGTTTATTGAAATGCACACTTTTCAGCGTGTTATTAATTTAACGTAACTCTAGCGCTGAACAAAATGAGGAGGGGATAGCTGCGCATGGGTACGACTAGAGGAATGAAGTTTAGGAGAATGTAAAAAAAAAGTCTATGCTCCACAAACGAGATAAATTAATTTGCTGCAAAGAAGATGATGACAGTTAACTGTAGCCATATTTATTCCCAGGTCTACACTGCTGACCTTCCAAGACCTCCTCCCGGACGACCCCCGGCTGTACGACAAGATGCGGCCGCCGAAGATCAACGACCAGCCCACCATCGTCAACTTCCACGTCACCGTCATGGGGCTGGACTCTATCGATGAGAACTCTATGGTTTGTTTTTTTTTTTAATATAACTTGCTCGCATGGCTGTATGATTCAATGATCGATTGCTTGTAAATTATTTTTTCATAAGTAAAGTTAGGCCTGCCCATATCGGTTGGACGATAAATCGGATGAGTTATTGCTTTTTTGCCTTTTGCGCTCTACCTATATCAGGCAAAGTCAAAAACTCTTTATTCAAATTGAATGCACAATACAAGTCTTTTTTTTGAGAGGAGCTCGATGGCGCAAGTGGTTAGCGCGTTCGGCTGCGGTCGTTGAAGTTAAGCAACTTTCGCAGTGTCGGTCATTGGATGGGTGACCAAAAATTTTGTGTCGCGAGTTCCTCCGTGCTTCGGAAAGCACGTTAAGCCGTTGGTCCCGGCTGCATCTGCAGTCGTTAGCACCCACCAATCCGCACTGGGCCCATGTGGTGGGTCATGGCCCAATCTCCCTATTTCATCCATAGGGACGGCCTGTGCCCCAGCAGTTGGGGCATTAATCGGCTAATGATGATGATGGAGTCTTTTGAATCGTCCATATTTTTTTCCCAACCACCAGTTAAGAATATTTTTTTGCGGTGGAAAAAAACTGGCGAAAAAGCTTCACAGCGTTAAATAAATTATGTAACATTATTAACAAATAACAAAAACTGTGGAATATGTTGGCGCCAGCAGTGTTTCCGGACCGATACGACACAAAAACCTTCAAAAAAGAGCGTACTCCTTCCTTAAAGGCCGGCATCGCATTTGTGATACTCCTGGTGTTGCAAGTGTCCATGGGCGACGGTGATCACTTACCATCAGGTGAGCCGTCTGCTCGTATGCCCCCTATAACATAAAAAAATATATATATATTGTTACGGTGTCAATAGAAAATCATATCATCTTCATCATTATATAGAAAAAGCCTGCCGGAAAGTTTGGAACAGTTTAAACCCTTACCCCCTTATTTAAAACGAAGACTTCGCTTGGATTAGTTACACTATGTTTTGTCTCTGTCTACTGAATGACAAATGGCATTTGAGTGACATGTACAAAACACGGCGTATTTTGCAGTGATGTCATAACTACCAACTTTTTGGTAGATCTACCAATTCAGTCTACCTTTCTTCCACCCTAGACCTAAAAACTACCTATTTTTTTAATTATGTAGTTTGACATATCACCACTTTGAATTATTTTTATATCGACGAGCGACGTTGCGATGTGTTGCGTGAGCCATGCAACGAAGCGTCAAGTATACATAGAGTCCAGGCCTTAAACCACAAAGAAAACGTCAGCAACAGTTCGCCCATGGAGGTTAGACATAAGGAGAACGATCGCTGTAGAAAATAGTGGTTTTCCAATTACAGAGCATAATGCGACTCAGTGGCGCACAATGCCGAATTATGCTGATGCTTAATTAGTTTTCAAATGCACCAGCAGAGACCGCTAAGTTCAGTGTTGAAAAAAAAGTCAATGTTTGTACCTTCATCCATATTTATATTTATTTTTTTAACAAAAAAAACTATAATGAAACGAAAGTTTTAATAATTTTTCAACTATAAATAATATTATTTGTTTCTTAGGTTTTCACGCACATCACTCATTAAATAAAACTAGTTTAAACGGGATAATGCACGAAACTTTATTTATTTATTGACGTTTCGTAGCCAAAACAAAAGTTTTATTCTGACGACGAAGCCTGGAAAGGCTACGAAACGTCAATAAATAAATAAAGTTTCGTGCATTATCCCGTTTAAACTAGTTTTATTTAATTATAAATAATATTACTTACGATAACATATAAATGAAACATTTCGATCAATGCCAACTTAAAGAATAAAACACTTGTTAATTTTCTGTCTCTGAGTTGGTACGATTGCACGCGTCACACGAAAACATTACTTTTGAGAGTGCTCGATTGTGCGAAGCGTTGCTGTAGTTGAAACACTCAACGTTAAGCATTATGCCGCATATTGCGCTATAATGCTGTAATTGGAAAGCTACTAATAGTGTCCCAGAAATATGGACAAAATGGACATTTTACATTCTACCAACTTCTACCAACATTTGGCACACAATCTACTAAAATTCGGGTTGGCAGCACTGGTATCTAGAACTTATACCTTGTTTATTAATAAGGGCGTAGCTGTTTGTATCTTATACCCGCCATACACACTACGAGAAATCGTTACGATCAGACTGTACAGTTCGAACGGTACACTTTATACAATTTCGTTTAGTATATGAAACTGTGCAGTTTTATAACATACACGCTACGATTTATCAGTACCGTTCGGACTGTACAGTCTAATCGTAACGATTTATCGTAGTGTGTATGGCGGGTATTAAATATAATCAGACACCTTATTAAGAAGTTTTGATAGTAGCTTTAAATTTATTGACGCTAAATTTTTGGATATTGCTGGGGACTTTATTGTAGAAGCGTACACAAAGACCTTTAAATTAATTATTGATTTTGTGGAGCCTTGTAATTGGTACAGGTAATTTATTTTTATTTCTGTATTGCGTCGTTATTATCGCAGCAATGTGTAACTTCACAGCTGTTCCAAAGAAGTAGAAACAAATATCGCAATAACGCATCCAATATTATCATCCATAATAACGCATCTACTGGAGAGACCATATTCTATTTTTGACCCTTTTTAAATTATTGCCCTTTTTGTAAAAAAAACTAAATCAAATTTATAGAAATTTGTTGAAACTTTAATTTTGTTGAAAAACGTAATCAACATATTTTATAAATTTTACTTACATTTAAACAAAGTTTTATATTTTTTGACGACCTCCGTGGCCGAGTGGTTTGTACGCCGGGTTTCATGGTGTCGCCGACTCGAGACTCGTCCCGGGTTCGAATCCCGGTGGGGGCAGATGTTTTGTGTGATGAATACGAGCATTTGTACTCCAGTCATGGATGTTAAATATGTATTTCTATATAAATATACTTATATATGTACTGTATATGTATTCTATCCGTTATCCAAGTATCCCATAACACAAGCCTTACAGTGCTTACTTTGGGGCTAGGCTAATTGGTGTGTGTGTTGAAAATATTTATTTATTTGTTTATTGATATTATGTTTTATAGTAATTATAAGCTGTTTATATTTGTTCATTAGTCTAAATTTGAGGATACTGGAAGTTTCTCAGTTCTCAAGACCACTTGGGTGAAATATTTGGCAAAGCTAAAATTTTCTGAAGGGGTCAGAAGGCTATGTAAGCAATGGCGGCGCTAGACCACATGTGGACGTCGGCGACATCAAGTTCGCGAGGCCTATTTTACTTCGCAGTAAAAAACCGATAAATCAAGTGAGCCAAATTATAAAATAACGTATGAGTAAACGAGTTTTATTGTTGATAATCAAATGATGACAAAAAATAATTACAAACATAGTATAGTGTTGCCACACAGACGATTCTGAGTACCCGTAAAGTACTACTCGCTTCCATCACGCACGTGTTCGAAAATAATAAGTCATTATCATCTGCTTAGCTTTTTCCCCGAATTGTTCGGGGTCGGCTACCTAAGCCATAGGTAACTTGTAAAAATTTTTTGCGAGGCCCCCTCAGGCGCGACGCCGTTGGCGGTGGCCGACGTCGCCGACGCCTAGCGCCGCCACTGTATGTAAGGTACATTTCTGCAGCGGCCAGCAAAAGACGCGTTGATGGACGAACGTGTAAATACGCATACTTAAGTCTATCAATGCTTAGTTGTGGCCAAGGCTTGTATAATGCTTTTCTCAAATAATGCGCTGAAATTTAAACTACGTAGTACTGAAGCTGAATATATTATTTTAAAACACAGCTAGCTGACCCGGTAAACATCACAGCCCTTACAATAATTTGGAGGAAATGAAATCTATTTGACAGAAACACAGCTTTTACTTCATTCAGCAAGGAGGATGATGACTAATTTTTTTTTTCTTCGTTTATCAGGTAGTTTATAAAAAAGTATTGGACACGTATTTTTCCTTTTTTCACATAATACACATATAAACATTGCAGAGATATATCGATTAGAAAAGTCGCATGACGTCACGTTTTGGTACAATTTTCACTTAAAAGTGACGTCACGAGCCCCTACTGCCAAACTTTGACGCGCTATAACTTTGTCATTTTTTGGTTGATTGAACAAAGAAAAAATACGTGTCCATTATTTTTTGATCATCTAACTGACGGACTAAATAGAATTCGTTTGCTGTACCCCGTCATCACCCCTATTGTTGAGAGAAATCTTGTTTCTGATTGTTCAGCACTGTAACTCTCGTATTTACTGCCAGCTGAAAATTCATTACCTACATGGCGTTACGCTATATTATATAAGTCAATTAAATTTAACACTTTTTTTTATTTATTATATTTTAAGTCCCATGACTATTTCTACCCAGTGTCTCTGTATGGGACAGTCCATTCAAGCAGCAAGCACTTTGTTATACTTTGCGGTATAATTACGCAGTTATAATACGCTGAGATCGGAGGCACACATTTACCTAGTTTATTACCTGAATTGAGACATTGGATACTTTTGTCTCCGAAAAGCAACGATATTAAATACCCTAGATACACCAACACGAACAAAATCATGCCCGAAACCTGTCCACAAGGTACATTGAACGATCCACGGAGCTCCGCAAGATGATCACGTAGTCTAAACAATATAAGGCATTATTTAAACATTGAAAATCACCTTTAAAGCTAACTGTATAAGGTCTTAATTAAAACGCACGCGTCATAGAGTTATGGCAGTCCGATATGTGAGCTCGTAATTTTTTACGACTTACTGCAATATGCAGAAGAATAAAGACCTTATTTCTTTGTCTGTACGCGCAATTCTGAATGCGCTGTTATTAATATAGCAGGTACGGTCCGCGAGGAAAAGAGATGGCTATATTATCGACCATGCATTTGAATATAACAAATATTATCTATTTCAGTTTATAGTAAGAATCAAAACAAAATTCACTTCAAATGCTTTAAATTAATAAACATTGATTAGATACCTGTCGAAAAAACCACATTTTGCATTCTTTATGTATTTCTTGCGCCTGTTTTCACGGAGCTCAGCGGCATGTTGACTTTTCAACGCTCCGCGCGGACTGTGCCTTGAGAAGTGCTTGAGTTGTGTTCAAGCACTTCTTGATTGGGACACATTTTGAGCGCACGTGGTGTATCTAGTGTATTTAATATCGTTGCCGAAAAGTGTTCAATGTCTGAGAAATTCTCAAAAAACTAAAGTTAACGCAGATGCTGTCGCTTGTACTAATTATTTTTCTACACAAGACCCTTTTTGCCACAGACGTACGCTGCTGACATCTTCTTCGCTCAAACATGGAAAGATTTTCGCCTTCGACTACCGGAAAATATGACATCCGAATATAGGTAAACAACAAATAAGTACTTTAATTTTTAAGGCTTGTTTCACACGTGTCTACACTACGTTTGTTGCGACAGGGTGTGGTGTGGTTGTGACACCAATTAATTGCACTAATTTGCGATCTATTGGCACAGAATTGCTTGCTAAGAATGCCTTTAAATATTATTTATAAGGTAGACAACACCACCACGGATAAGCATCAGAATGATATCACTAAAATCACTTTTCCAGAGTGCTAAACACGTACCAGCATTTCTCCATATTCTTATATTTATATATATGTAGTTACTTTAATTTCCAAAATGAAGGATCGCTACAACATACCGCCTTATTATAATGCGATTCAAATAAGAATAGGAAAGCCAATGACCTCCATCTGTCAAATGACCCTCGAAAAGTACGGTTTGCAAAAAATCTTGGAACTCTTTTTTAGCACTCAGCTAATTCTAGAATAAAAAAAACAAACATTTGTAAACAAACATGACGACGATGACAACTCCGGTAGTTATGCAGAGCTGGGCGGAATTGAAGAGCTAGATTCCGATTAAAATTTTTACTCACACAGTCATAAATGTTATTAAAAATCGGTGTTTTTTTTTCTCAATCTTAGTAAATAAATCTTATTAATAAAATCTGATGTTTTTTCTCACTTAATCTTAGTAAATAAGTTTTATTTAAAAAAAAACTGAAGTTTTTTCTCACTTAATCTTAGTAAATAAGTTTTATCTAAGAAAAACTTTTATTGCTCACTCTACCTATTTTGTTTCAATCGACAGCTTTGGCATCACAAAATGGCGCCCAGTCGATCCTATTCTTAGTTGAATCGCATTATACAAAACTTAGCCTAAAGTTTAAACCTGGGCTAAAACAGATGCTGTCACTTTTGCTTGATAAGAAGAGGAGAGACACAAAATTCGGTTTAAATCAAGACTAACTTTAATCCGCGTTTAGGAATAAGGCGGCTTGGGAAGATTTTTATTACACATTATTAAAAACATCCCTAATTCTGCAGACTTCTAGAAGTAGACTGGCTGAAGCACATGTGGCGTCCAGACTCCTTCTTCAAGAACGCCAAGTCCGTAACGTTCCAGACCATGACCATACCGAACCACTACGTGTGGCTGTACAAGGACAAGACAATACTGTACATGGTGAAGTTGACGTTGAGACTGTCCTGCGCCATGAACTTCTTGATATACCCTCACGATACGCAAGAGTGTAAGCTGCAGATGGAGAGCTGTGAGTCAAACTTTTTTAGTTATGTTTTAATATTTTTAAGTATTTCATTGCTAGATGTTTAAATCTAAAGATTTTTTTAATTGAAAAAGGCGCTGCCTTGTTCTAAGAGAAAAGTAACCGAATCAAAAAGGTCAGTGTTTAAGATCTTCTTAAAATTAATCAAATTTCATAGTCTATAATAGCGGTGGCGTCCAACGTGGGGCAACATAATTATTCCAAATTAAGTCTCTTTAATTAAGTCTTAGCTTATTAATTAATTAACTGACTCGGCGAACTTGGTACCGCAAAAAAGTAATAATTTGCAATAAAATAATATTGAGACTACAAATTGAAATGTAAGCTATCCTATCTTTTAAATTGGATCGAAATGGAAAAAAAATTATTAAAATTAAGAAGTTTTAGAGTCCATCCAGGAGATTTTAGTCCCACTTGCAATGTTGCTAAATCTCAATTTAAATAAAACTAGATAGAGCATATAGCCCAGCCAAAAATGTCAAATAGACATTACCGTGTTGAAATTTTTCTATGAGTTAAAGCTAGTTTTAGTTGAATCGAGATTTAAGGCTGTAAGTGGGCCTTAATATCTAGAAAATGATAATTAAATCTTCCATACTCTCCACGGACCCCGGAGACCTAATATGAGTCGTATCCTATTGAGCCTTCCAGCCTAATTTGGCACAATAGCAATTACATACTTACTCCCAATGAAGCAAGTTGGCATTAAGTATTCCGTAAGTTGATCGAGTAGTAACAGTTAACTCCGCCCTTTCGATAGGAAAACTTATGTGATAAGTATTAATGAAATTAATACGAGTTTATGAAACTTGTTCCCTTTTCTATCAAAGGATATATGTATAAACATTAACTAACTTTATCGTGGATGTGAAACTCCTTCTGGCTACTGAGTTATTCGTACATTTTGTTATTCAACCAAGTAAATTAATAGCCGACGCGAGCTGACAGACATTGAAATGAAATGAAATGAAAAGTCATTTATTCAGTCTAGGCTGTTACAAGCACTTGGTGTTTTTTTTAATTTTCTGTCCCTCCCTCGTGTGAGATGTCGTGAGATTTTTTTCAACCCCCTCCCCCATCCCCCAATCTCACGTGAGATTTTTCAAAATGTGGGTTTCTTACTTAAATGCGTTGGATTGTTATTGTTAAAAGAAAAAAAAAATGCTTCGTACTTTTATTTACGACTAGTTAAGACTAGTAATCAATATTGCTGAGAGTTATTTCTCTCGAACGAAATAGTGAATGATCTTAATCGTATTACGATTACGCTTAAGATTAAATTTTAAGCATGTACAATCTGGATTAAATGGACCAAAATAGTATATATTTTTTTGTTTCAATCAGAAAAAAAATTGCGTGATATTTGACTCGACCCCCCCTCTCTCCAACGTAAGATTAGATGAGATTTGAATAGAATAGAATAGAATAGAATGATTCTTTATTACAAAACTGTTACATTTAGTATTACTGCTAGATGTTAGTGCACATAATTGAAATAGACAGTTACCCTAATCGGGCATGCAATAGTCATTTTTATAAAACATTATTATTAAAATATTCATTAAGATTATAAAATGCATTATATAATAGCCATTGCTTCAGGGACCTTACAAACTTAGATTCCGGAAGTGACCGCAGATAAGGCGGTAAATTGATGTATATTCGTATGGCAGACATATAAGTACTTTTTTCAAAAATTGCTGAATTTGACCGAGGTAAATGTAATTTGTCTTCACGTCTCATCGGGGTTATTGCTCTCTTGTCAGAGATTTTTGGGAATTCAGACATATGACATCTTAAAAAAATGGTTGCCTGTAAAGTCGGTTTTACGGGCGAAGATTTTACGTGACAACGTCTTTTTCTCGGTAGAATATTTATTGATATGAATATAATTAAATTGCACAATAGGAACAAGGAATTGAATGAAAATAAGAATTGCACAAATTTTAACTATAGAAATATATTTTGTTTACTAAAACATTGTACATGTAAACTTAAACTTAACACGAGAGACTCATCGTAACGTTACCGAGCGTTACACTTTTTCATAAGTGACTCCCAGCCGCAACCTAATTTAAGACGTTGTCACGTCAAAATTTACACATTTCTAATATATAAATACAGGCCAATGTTAAAATTTGTTTTTCTTTAAAAATATTACGCATTGATTCGTCACTATATTTGTTAAAAAATATTCTTAAACACCTTTTTTGTAATAGGAATGTACTTTCAACATTAACAGAATTGCCCCAAAATATGATACGATAGCTTAATATGGGATATATATTACCATAATAAGCATTTAATGCTACTTCAGTGGATAATATATCGGTCAACACTGACAGGGCGTAACAATAACTACTTATTTTGTCATTAATTTTCTCTATTTGATGTTTCCAATTCAGGTGAGTATCTATGGTAATACCAAGGAAATTAGCATATTCTACTTCTTTTATTTTGGTGCCATTTACCGCAATTTTAAGGTCCAAAGGTTCTTTTTTATAATTTCTAAGTTGTAGAATGTTAGTTTTTATTAAATTAACTGTTAAATTGATTGATTTAAGCCAAGTTGTCAGATTTTGTAATGTCAGAGATATATTGACTCGACCCCCTCCCCCCCTTAAACATCTCACGTAATTTACGGACGCCCCCAAACTACGACGGGAGACCTTGTACTGAGAAGAACCAAATCAAATCCTTTAAAAGTGACGAGTTCTTACATCTCGTGTCAAAGTCTCCTCATCTCTAAGCTTCGTGGGTGAAGGAGTGACGTCACTTGGTGGCGATGACGTGGCGCTTTGACTAGACAGTTTGTCGCCAACCTCTGGGCTTAATTAGGCTCTTCTGCTAGGGTTACCCACTTTGGCAGAGCATTTAGTATTATATTTTCTCTCATACTAATATTGCAAAGTATTTTCAACTAAAATGTTAAGGAATTACCAGCGAAATTGATTTCAAATAATTTTGGTAAATATTTTTGTGTAATCATCATCATCCTACCAGTCGATGGCAACGTAGGCCAGCGCGCGTTGTTATCTGAAGGAAAGGGAAAGGTGGAATAAGAGAGAATAACTCCTCAGAACACTCACCATGGTACAGACGATAGAACGCGCTATTAGGGGTGATGACGGGGTACAGTAAACGAAATTCTATTTAGTCCGTCATTTAGATGATCGAAAAATAATGGACACGTATTTTTTCTTTGGGCATTCAACCAAAAAATGACAAAGTTATAGCGCGTCAAAGTTTGGGAGTAGGGGCTCGTGACGTCACTTTGAAGTACCAAAACGTGACGTCATGCTACTTTTCAAATCAATATATCTGTGCAATGTTTAAGAGTTGACATTTAAGCAAATTAAAAATTAAAAAAAAAACATTTCTTAAATCTTAATATTCAATAATCAAATGATGTGAATTTGGAAAGAGGCTGGTATTTATAGCACACATTATTCTTTTTTAAGTACCAGCAGCTTTAATATTATGTCAAAATTGTGTCATATCTATGTGATAATAAACTATGTAATCATTATCTTTGCGGAAAAATAAACTATTATTATTAAAAAAAAAAATACGTGTCCAATACTTTTTGATAATCTACGTGATAAAAACGAAGAAAAAAAAATAGTCATCATCCCTATTGAAGTGGCTCGAGATGATGCGGCTTGCGCGCCGCTGTCCTATCCAAAGCTTAGCAAGTACTATTCTATTCTATTCATGCCTACTTTGTTGTATGTAGTTGTAAAGTCTACCTATCTAAGTATGCATAAGTAGAGTGAATTCTCTAGGCCTTATTTATTTAATCACAAGCCTATCTTATAATAAATATAAAAATAATTAAATAATAATAAAAAATCACATGGTTCGCAAAAAAATGTTGTCACTAAAATAATCTTTTGCAAGAATGGACAAGTAACTTTTAACAAAATTTATAATCTGTTCACAAACACTTCAATAATAACTAGGGAACATAGATGAGGTAGGGGCACAACGCTACTTATACTTTCATACGCAAGACACTAAAAAAGACAATAATTTAAGTAAACATATTCAATAAAAAAAATACATAAAACAATTCGGCTCTGCCAAAGACACGCACCTACAAAAGTTTTTTTTTCCTAAATGGCTTCGCACGGCTTGTGCATTTAGCCAATGTCAAGTGTCAAAATGTTTGCAAATTCTATAACACTCGTGGTCAAAGTAATAAATCAAGTCAAAGTAAGTGGCAGTCAAGTCAATACCCCTTTCCCTATGTTTCAGTAAATGTGTGGGGATTTACTGGAACCTCCCCGTGGACTTCTTGAGGGAACGTCGAAAGACACTTTCCGCTATTTTGTTTCACTTACCAACACTTGTGCATGTTCCCGAACATTTAGTGGTTAATAATCCACCATTATTAGACACTAACATCCGCCACAACACAGTTTTTAACAAGAAAAACAAAGCTGCTAAACGACGCTTTCCGATCCCGCCAAAAAGTGTAAAAGAAAAATAAACATTTTTTTTTTAATTTTTTTTTTGCTGTCTGGGGACCTCTTTACTTGAAAGTACTTAGTTAAAGTACTTTGCAGAGTTTTAGTGGTGGTTACAGTTATTTCATAATACGATTCTCAATATATTTATTTCAACCTATTGCAATGAACGGTACAACAGTTCAAACCAAAGCAATTTTTCATATCTGTAAATTATATAATCATACGTTAAAATTGCAATGGTCTCAGAAGAAATGATTTTTTTTATTTCTTATTTGCTTAAATAAATGTTAACTCTTAAACATTGTTTGTGACTCCATCATAACACGGAAGACAAAAGCATTATTAGCACAGTTGAGCAGAAAGTGACCAGTGGGCATATTTGAAACTAGCAAAAATGACTTCTCTGGGCCAATGTTAAAGTATGATTGTGAGAATAAAAACCGAACATTGGTAAATTTTTTTAGGAACTCGATGGCGCGGCTGTTTAGCGCTTTCGGCTGCGATCGTTGAAGT